CCCCGGCGAGTCCAAAACGTCGCAATCCCGCATTTCGCTCCTTCTGGCCTAGCGGGGCCCAGGCCCAGACCCCATCTTCCTCCCTGGGGGCCCATGAACCAAACACTCCGAACCCGCAGCAGCGCCCCCGTCTGGCCAAACGGGCCCTGCTTCCCTTGGAGAGGTTTTCTGGCCGCCAGGGGCGCCCGCGAGGGCGTTAGGACACGGACGCTGGGATGCAAGGGCGCCGGTGGGAGCAGGGCGACTATCGGTAGCATCTCCAGAGAAATCAGAAAACGAAACAGGAAGGGCCTGCTCGTGCACGGGAGCGGGATCAGGGCGACTAACGGTCGCGATTGCCTGCGAGATAGGAGAGAGAGGAGGGATCAGGACACCGCGATGTCGAAGGTCGGCTTGTCCAGAGAACAGGCCCTCCCTGACGGGGGCGGGATCAGGGCGACCAACGGTCGCAATTGCCAGCGAGATAAGGGAGGGAGGAGGGATCAGGACACCGCGACGTCGAAGGTCGGCTTGTCCAGAGAACAGGTCCTCCCCGACTTCTTCCTGCCCCTCCCCCCCCTGCGACTCGCGACCATCTTCGCGCTCTTCCCGGTGGAGGCGACCCGTTACGCAGTCTCCCCCCTGCGAGTCCAACGTCGCACCCGCTTCGTTCCCTTCTGGCCTAGCGGGCCCTGCCCCAGCTTCTCCTTGGGAGTCCGTTGACACGACCGCAGCGTTCCCTTCAGGCCCAACGAGCCCTGTTTCTCTTCGAGAGGTCCGCCGGCCGCCAGGGGCGCCCGCGAGGGCGTCAGGGCCCAGCCCAGGGGAGGCAAGGGTGCCTCGACAGCCAAAGGACACAAGGATGCAGGGGTGCAAAGGGGACCTCTTCCTGATTGTCAGAACCGCGAGGAACGTGTCCGTTCCTTCCTGGCCTAACGTGCCCTGCTTCTCGTTGCGAGCCCGATGGTACCACCTCTGCACTCCCTTCTGTCCTACCTGGCCCTGCTCCTCTTTGAAAGGTTTGCTGGCCGCCAGGGGTGCCCACGAGGGCGTCGGGACTCGGACACAGGGGATGAGAGGGTGCCTTGCTCGCTGCGGTTGCCGCTGCCTGTCGCCAGGGGGCGTCCTCCTGCTGTCACCAGTGGACTGCTCCAGTCGGGCTGGCAATCGGGCTGGGGCGGCGGAGGCGGCGTCGTTTACCGCGCCCCCCGCCGCCGCCGCAGCCGGCGGGGAGCCAGCAGCGGCGGCGGCAGCGGCAGTAGCAGCGGCCGCCGCGGAGGCAGCCGCGACGCCGGCCACGGCGCCGCCGGCCGCCGCCGCCGCCGGGGGGGGCCAGGGCGGGCGGGCGGCCAGCGGAGGGGCGGCGGCCCGCGGCGGCGGGCGGCATCGTGGGTCGTGGCGCAGGGGCCGCCGCGGGGGCGCGGCGGCGGCGGCGTCAAAGCGACGCCCCCTCCGCCGCCGCAGCGCGCCGCGCCGTAGGGAGCTGTGGGGGCAGGCAGGTCGGGCCGGACCGCGGGGCGGCAGATCGGGCAGAGCGGGGGGGGGCGGGCAGGCCGCATGGCTGGCAGCCAATCTTCCGCGGGGACAGGTAAGTCCGCCGGCGCTGGCCGTGAGCTCGGCCCCCACGCGGCCAGCGAATCCGCGGCCGGCAAGAGGCCCGATGTGCCGCGGCGACGGCGCGGCGAGGCCGACCGCGGCGCAGGCAGACGGCTGGGGTGGGCGCGGGCGGCCACAACCCCCCGATTGCCACGCAACAGCCGCGGCGAAAGGTCGCGGCGGCCCCTAGGCGCCAGCGGTCCGCCGCGGACGCCCCCGCGGCCGCCAGCGCCCACGGCTCCCCGTCTGGCGCCCCGCGGGAAGAATGCCGGCGGCGGTGGCAGCAAGAGCAGCAGGGGCAAGCCGGGGGCAAGTGGCGGCCGAGCCGTCGCCGCCGCCGCCTCCAGCGCCCGTGCCCAGCCTCCAGGGGGAAGGCAGCGGCGGCGGGGCGGCGGGGGCCCGCCGCCGTGCGCCGCGCCGCCGCCGGGCGGCCGCCGCCGCCGCCTCCCGCGCGCCGGCCTCCAGGGTGGAGGCGGCGGCGGCGGCGGCAGCAGCAGCCGCGGCCGCGGCAAGCGGCAGCCCGTCGCGCGCGGCGGCGGCCAGGCGCTGCCGCCGCCGCAGGGCGGCGCCAGAGGGGCGCGAGGCCATCGCGACGGGGCCGGCCCGGCGCGAACCTGTCCAGGGGCGGGCTCGAGCCGAGACGGCTTGAGCCAGATGGCTACGGTAAAAACATAAAAACACACAGGGTTTCGCAACACTGATTTGCTAAAAAAGCTTACGTGCGAGCTCTTGCGAAATCTTAAGAAAACTATGGGTTTTTCAATATTTTCACAAAATGCTACCAAACGGATTTCGCGCGCGCGCATGTCGAAATCTGTCGAACGCCCTTGCGCGTGTGCCGTCGCGAGAATCCTCTGCAAAAAAATGGGACGCAGTGCAGACGCGCGCGTCGTCGCGCGCGTATGCCGAAATCCTTCCAAACCCATCGGTTTCGGAAGGATTTCAAAATCGTGTGTCCAAAAAATCTACAAAAACACGAGGTTTCGCAACACGGACTTTCAACAAAAGCGTGCGCGCGCGCTCTGGCGTCGTCGTCGTCGTCGTCGTCGCCGTCCTCCCTCCTCCCGCGTCGTCGTCGTCGTCGCCTACGTCGTCCTCTGTCTTTCCTCGTGTTCGTCGTCGTCGTCCTCTTTGGCGTCGTGGTCGCTTCCGTCGTCGTTGTCGCCGTGGTCGTCCTTCCTCCTCCTCCCTCGTCGTCGTCGTCGTCGTCAGTCGTCGGCGTCTCGTCGTCGTCCCTCCTATTTCGTCGCCGTCGTCGTCGTCGTCGTCGTCGTCTTCCCTACTCCCTCGTCGTTGTCGTCGTCGGCGTCGCCGTCCTTCCTCCTTCTTCGTCGTTCGCGTCGGCGCAGTCCTCCCTCCTCCCTCGTCGTTGTCGTCGTTGTCGTCGTTGTCACCGTCGTCGTCCTCCCTCCTCCCGTCGTCTTCGTTGGCGACGTCGTCGTCGTCTTCGTCGTCGTCGTCGGCGTCGGCACCGTCGTTTTCGTCGTCGTCGACGTCGGCGTCGTCGTCGTCGCCGCCATCGTCGTCGTCGTCGCCGCCGTCGTCGGCGTCGTTGACGTCGTCGTCGTCGGTGTCGTCGTCGTCGTCGGCGTCGTCATCGTCGTCGTTGTCATCGTCGTCGTCGGCGTCGGCGTCGTCGTCGTCGGTGTCGTCGTCGTCGTCGGCGTCGTCGAATTCGTTGGAGACGTCGTCGGTGTCATCGTAGTCGTTGTCGGCGGCGTCGTCCTCGTCGTTGTCGCTGTCGTCGTCGGCGTCGCTGTCGTTGCCAAGTGCCATTTGGTACCCACCGTCACGGTCTTAAGAGATTTTGCAAACCAAGTTGCGGGTGGGTGGGTGGGATGTTTGCGCGATCAGTGGAGGTGGTCAAGCGCGGTGCAGGGTAGTCAATTGCACCACCTACATGCACATAAATTGCGCCACATCTATTGCACCACATACGTTGTAATATATGTATATATATATATATGTATAGCACATCGTGGATTTCACAACGTAGATTGCACATCCTAAGTTGCACCGCGTAGATTGCACAACCTGCATTGCATCACATACATGGCCCCACATAGACAGCACCACGTATATGCCAGAAACACACTGTTTGGAGTCCACGCTGGCTAACATATAAGATGTCTCCCACGGCAAACGAAGCCACAAACAACAGACACCGTTCAAGCAGCAAATCCGTTCCCCATTCAGAAATCCGTTGTCAAGACCATAGAGGCACTAAAGCGGGGATGCGCAGCAGTGGCCGGCCGGGTAAACGTCACAACATACCAAGGGGAGGAAGAAGAGGAAAGGAGGGAACCTGGACAGACGCGTTGTATGCGCAGCCCTCATGGTCGACCGACCATTTACACAAAGCACGCAACTAAAGCCAGGTACGCAGCGAAGCTGGCTAACATAAGAGATAGCCACACCTGTTGCTGGTCGAACTTCAGCGTAATATAATATTGGATCTGCTGACTGCAGCAATCAGCGCGTTGAAGAGAAAAGTGTTCCCGATGGATGACATAGCCACAACTTCCGCCCAAAACGGGCATGTGATACTACTCTTGGCCCCCTCACCGAACTAGGGAGGCCGAAAAATTCCGTGCCTGGTAGCGTATAGTGACCCTCAGGCCCTAAACACAAGCCAAATTACCCCACCCCACCCCGCCCCATCATACACCCTACCGGTTCCGAACCACGTGCGTGCCAAACGGACCGCTGAAATACGCCTACTCGATCCCCCCAGTGAGGCCCAAATGCGGTGGAGATTGCCCAATAGAGCCCTAACCCCAAGACTGCACGAGAGGCCCCCAAGATGACCAAAACGGCCCTCAAGAAAGCCCCAAGAGGGACCCAAGAGAGAGACCTCGCAAGAGCCACACAAGCCCTCCCCACAAAGATGGCCCCCAAGACGCCCAACATGCCCTCAAGATGCCCCCACAAGACTCCCAAGAAGCCCCCCGAGGGCCCCAAGAAGCACCCAGGGACCGTGGCAAAGCTCCCCGGAGGCCGCCCCCGAAGCATCCAAGAGGCCCGCGAGAATTCCCGCGACGGACGCGGAGAAAGAGAGGACAAACCAAAAACAATTACACAGGGATCGACCTACACAGTGATCTTCATTTCCGTGTTATTTTCGATCTCCCTCGTTGTGGCATCGTTCCGCTTCTGCTGCAAGGCGAAATCAAGACGAAAACGGCCCACGAAAGCACCAAAACACGCCTTACATCGTGGCCTGCAACTACATGCAGGCAGCATGACGGGACGCGGCAAACAACACTTGCGAAATTGGAAGCCGCACATGAAGACGGAGAGGACGAGGACGAGGAGGGAGAGAAGGGCAAGAAGGGGGACGGAGAAAGAAGGGTACACACGGAAGAGGAACAGAGACAGGGAGGGAGAAGAGGAAGTGGAGGGAACGGTTATGACTGGCTTGCGGCCTGCACCACAGTCCATCAATTGGCAGAAGCCCTCAAACGCGATGCCAGCGTCGTTTTCCTGGGAGGAGCCATGGGCACGTAAGTAACTTGCCCCACCCTCGCCTTCTCGACACCTCCTCTCCACTCCACTCCGGTCCCCGCGCGCTCCTTGACTCTCTTCTTCTCTTGGGCGCGCACAAAGCAGCCAACAGGGAAGAACAACACATCTGGGCCACTACGCCCCACCACACGCCTGCCCACAAGTACATCCCTTCTACACCCCCCTTTTCATCGAGGCTGGGGGATTGTGGCGGCCCTCGCTGTTTTGAGTGGTTTGCTATTGTGCTTTCGTGATTTGCTCGTTCTCTATCTCTCTCTCTCTCTCTTACTCTTCGCCAACCTCTTCACCAGAAAATGCCCCCCCGAGCATGGTCCTCGGAACTTCAGCCCTGTGCCAAACGGCATGGGGCTGGAATTTCGCCAGGGGAGTTTTTACGAGCTTTCAGCCTTGTCTTCATCATTATCCTGATATGTCCTCTCTCGCTGTCTCCCTTTGCCTCTCTCTCGCATACACATTATATGCATATCCTTCTTTAAGCATCACAAACGAATCCCTCTGGAAAGCGAAGCAAAAATATTCGATGTCCTCGCAACAAGAATCCGCTGGGAATCATGACCGCGGGATTCGAGTGGAAAGCGTCATAATCGGAGCCGTTTGGAAAGCACTGCTGATGGCTTCTATTGGGACGCATAACAGGAGGAAACCTTAGGACAGCACAAAAGATTCGATTGGACAGCCCCGGGCTTGGAACACTGTGCGAAAGCTACACAAGAGTTCCATTCGATGGCCTCACAACAAGGATCATCTGGAAAGCGCTGTCTAGCAACACGCATTCTATTAGAAACGATCATAGTTATAATCCTTGGGAAAGCACACCAGAAGGATTCTCTATGGGAACAAACAACCGTAACCCTTTGGCAAGGAATCTAACAGGCTTGATCGGAAGGCCTCGAAATAAAGATCCTTTGAACAGCGCAACAAATCGGAGCGCCTGGCAACAGGAATCCTTTGGAAAACACCACACACGGATTGTATTGGAAAGCCTCACAAGCGAAATCCGGTGGAAGGCAGCACGAAGGAGTCCTACTGGAAAACATCTCAAAAGGAACCCTCTGGAAAACGCTAAGACGGGCTCCGGATGGAAAGTACCAGACATTAGATCCTTTGGAAAGCACCACACGGGCACTCGATTGAGTTGGAAAGCGCCACGAAGGGGCTCCTACTGGGAAGTCGCACAAAGAGGAGCCCATCAGAAAGTACCACAGAGGGACTCCCTGGGAAAGCCTCACACCAGAAAACTTTTCGAAAACTTATGTGGAACATGTGGGAGCTATGCGGCACAGCTAGCTGTTGGGTCAGCGTGGGAAACAATGTCCAACGCAAAGATTATCTCATAATGAACGGGGTGTGTGGCCTAAAGCTTACAGCAAAGCTGAGAAGGCCAGGCAATCGGCACGTTCAGTCCAAGCCACAATAAACGACACAATCGCAATACCCGTAACTCCCTAACACGTCCTCCTCCCCCTCCGCCTCCCCCTCTCTCGTCTTCGTCCTCCTCCTCATCATCACCCTCCTCCTTCTCCTCATCATCATCAGCATCATCATCATCATCATCATCATCATCATCATCACCACCACCACCACCATCATCATCATCATCAGCAGCATCAGCCACAGCATCATCGTCAGCATCACCATCAGCATCAGCACAATCAGCATCGTCATCATCATCAGCAGCATCATCAGCAGCAGCATCATCATCAGCATCAGCATTAGCATCAGCATCATCATCATCATCACCGTCATCGTCATCGTCATCGTCATCGGCATCCTCATCATCAGCATCAGCATCATCGTCATCACCACCATCATCATCAGCATCGTCGTCATCATCAACCTCCTCCTTCTCCGGCTCCTCCTCCTCCTCCTCCTACTACTCATCCTCGACCTCCGCGTTCGCCTCCGCCTCCGCCTGCGCCTCGGCTTCGGCTTCTTCCTCCTCATCCTCCTACTTTTCCTCCACCTCCTCCTCCTCCAGTCTGCCCCTCCTCCTCCTCCTCCTCCTCCTCCTCCTCATCACATCATCATCATCATCATCATCATCACATCAGCATTCATCATCATCATCATCATCCATCATCATCACAATCATCATACATCATCATCATCATCAATCATCATCATCATCATCATCATCATCATCATCCCGCAACTCCTCCTCGTCCTCCTCCTCCCCTCCTCCTCTTCCTTCCTTCTCCTACCTCCTCCTCACTCTCGCACCACACTACCTCCACCACCTCCTTCCCCCCCCCCCCCCCCCCCCCCCCCTTATTTGCCAACCCTCATCCAATACCTACCCCCCCCCCCCCTTTTTTCCCCCCTCTCCTCCTTAATCCGCATCCTGCTCCTCATCCACCTCCGACACTCCTCCTCTTTCTCCTCATACCTACCCTCCTCCTC